TAGCATAGTACTGCTGTATGTCTTCTTCACAGACACAAATACAAGGGGACAACTATGTTTATGATATTTTTTAGTGACATCTGGCATTCTCACAGGAAGCCTGGTGCCTGCTTGTCTGTAGGGAGAGCCACAGTCATGACTCAAAGCCAAGCTGCAAAAGGGAACATTACTGTTAATAACTATAAAGGAATGAATGTGATCAGGAGTGAGGACTTTGACTTAAAAGCAAGTGTTGATATATTTAATGTTGTTCCCTGTGAATAAAACTCAAACCTGGCCAGCTGGTGAAAGTATGGAGCTGTTGTTTCCTGGTGTGTTCTCATGCATAGGAAGTCTCCTGACCTTGGGCCTTGATTCTGCAAACACATACACTGATCATTCATTTCAGCTTACAGAAGTATTTGCCCTGGGACAATGTGCTGTTTGACTTCTTGCAAAGTAGCAAAGATCCCATCTTTTGCATAAATTCCACTAAAAACATGTGGCTTGTGTTCAATCTACCTTTGAAGCCCTGAACTAGTAATGGGAAGCTAGCTAGTACAAGTCAATGAAAGCTCAGTCACAGAACGCTGCAGGAGTCTGTGTGGAATGTAGACCTCTGCATGCATGTTTAGTCTATATTCTAGAACATTTGTGTTATGAAGTTACAAAAGGGAATTAAATTAATTCTTCAATAGCATATGAATAGATAAATATGACAATTTTCATGAAGAAGCCATTGTTTCTTGAGGTTTGTTTGCAGCTGAATGGAATGTTCTGCACTGGAGATTTCTAGGCAGCAGGATGGGATGAATCATCAGAATATTAAATGTATCAGTGTAGCAGCTGTTGCTGTTGCTTCATGTTGACACTATAGTGGAATTCTTCTGATTCTTCAGAGCCCTTGCTTTCTTTAGCCATATGCCGAATGTCTGCACTCCAGCTGATATCAGAAGGAAATTATTGTCTTCACATTTTTTGCAGGTTCAGATTTAGTACAGCACAATATTTAACACTGGGTCTTCAGTGCTGGAAGCCCCTCAACTAAATTTCAGTGGAGTGTGGACTATTTGGTTAGGAGTTGATTTTACTTAAGACTAATAAAACTTGCCTTAAACTAGAGGGTGTAATACAAAGGCACAGTGAATCCCAGTTAGATAGTTGGTATATGAAGTTAAAATAGTTCTTAGTGAAAGATTCTGGAGTAGGAGCAAAGCAGTTTACTTGAGCAGGATGCAGGCTGTTATACTAGTGTGCTGTACATGATCCAAGAAAACTCCAAACTTCCCCAAAAGGCTGCCTGCTCTAATGCTATGCATTTTTTAAATGGGGTCTTGTTACTTCTGGCTTAACCAGTGTTCAGAACTGACAGACAAACAGTTTTCTCATTTTGTGGTATTTGCAAGTTAGCAGCAACTGAGCTGGTGCAGAAGAAACTGGTGACATTTGTGTGGTTGAATAATTCATGATTCCATATGGCATGCATTTGGGCAGACACACAGGGCAGCTTCCACTACTGACAAGAAATTGTTAAAGCTTGAGTAGCAAGTAACTATTTTATATTCCCACAATAAGGAAAAGCTGTAGCCTCCCTGCTTTCACATGAGTTTACATTCATTTTTAGCTAATTCATACAAGTCACACAAGCACATAGAACAGCAATGCATGAAATGTGGTCATAATTCTTTCAAAAAACAATGGGATGTATGGACACTTGGACACAATGCCTGAAGGAATCTGGCCCCATTAAGTACTGTAACCCAAAAGTGCCAGGGCTAAGGATGCCAGTTTGAAAAGCTAAACACTTTCTAGTCAAGACAAATGTCTTCAACTGAACTGTATAATAGGAAATGGGAAGGGTATAAAGGTGTGTGTGAATTGTTTCAGGGATAGGACCTTGTGCTCATCTTCAAGAAACTGCAGACTTGCTTTCTTGAAAGATAACTGATCTAATCTACCAGAACTGTCTGAGTTGACTGGGTAAACTGCATGACTCTGTTATATGAGTAATGCTGCAGAATGCAATGAGTCATTAGTAAAAAATGTACTCACACTTCAGTTAAACAAAGATGCCTTTCAAGAATGAGTTAAATTGAGGTCCCATGGCTGTAATAAAGGTAGTGAAAACTCTACAGCCTACTTTAAGCCCAGTTTTGGGCTTTGGGTTTTGTACTTTAAAATGCCCAACACTAACTTAGCATTCATAAAGAACTGACTTGATATACACTAGGTTTAAACATTTTATACATTTCTATAAAATGCATGCATGACTTTGTACAGTGGTATCAATATTTTTTTCCCTTTAGTTTCATGCAGCTTTTGGGTGCAAGCAGAAATAAACCAAATGAGATTATGGTGGAGGTAACACATGAGTATTGAGTTCATGGTACAACTGTGGACAAATTCTGGAACAGCTGTGGACAAATTCTGGGATGCATTTGCTCTGGTATCTGAAGTTGCACTAGATGGAATTGGTACTTAAATCCAGAGATGTAGCAAGTCCAAATGTTATTTGCACCTTGTGTTGGTGCATACATACTCTCTATATAATTTCACTCTACATCTAACCTTGAATGTGCTTTATCAGAGCAGACTCCCAAAATAAGGTATACTTCAATGTTATTACAAGCTCCCTACCTCTGTGTACTGCTTGTAATGTGATGGTAATAGTTATTCAAGGAGAAATCTCTTATGTGGTAAAACTGTAGTTGAGAATCTTCCTTTGGTAAGGAAGAGAATGACTGTTCCAGGTTAAGTGTTACTGGGAGTATAAACTGAGCAATTTGCAGACAATTATATTCACTGGCAGCAAGCTGAAAACCAAACCTTGTATCCAAATATGCTTTAATTCAGACAAAAGGTCTGAATTCAGACTTTGGAAAACTAGTTTATTTTTATAGACAGGACAAAAAAAACCCAACATCTAGAAATCACAGCAGTTCTCAGCATGGAACACTGAAGATACAGCTTAGTGATTTACTGTCACTGAGTGCCCCATTACACAAGCCTAAGAACTGCACTAAGAAGACTTCTACATTATAGTTCTGATGATAGTTTCATTTATCAGTGCCAAATGAGTTGGCTGTAGACACTGCATTTTTTTCTCACATGTTTAGTTCTGATGATAGTTTCATTTATCTGTGCCAAATGAGTTGGCTGTAGACACTGCATTGACAAGACCAGTAGCAAAATAAGTGAAGAAAATTGAGGGAAGCTTAAAGCATTTTACAAGTTTTAAAGAAAATAAAAAACAATGGTAATAAGACAATGTACAGTATAAACTTTATTTCCAAAGCTTGGATTGATATGATAGTTCATGGCACATGAAAGAAACAGAAAAGCAAATCTAGATTGACATATTTTGCAATTATTGACCATTTCACACCAAACACTTAAGTGCCTTAACATTTAGAAACCTTGATGCGTTGCAGCCACTTCACATACAAAGCCTTAGCTCTGAGCTCTGTGCATTCAGGTGCTGCTGCACTACATGTGCCACAGAAAAGCCACAGATTCAAAGATGCTTTATACCTCTGACATATTCTCATCTAGTATTGCACTTGTTATCAAACAAGACAACTGTACAGGTAGAAAGTGAGATGGTTATAGAGGATAAAAAATGGTATATACTAATTTAAAAGCTTCTACATGTCAGCTCTGAAGTGGGCTGAATAACTGATTAAAGTGACCCATCAAAACTGGGTATTTTCCAAGCACCCTTTAATTCAGGATGTGTATTTCAATCCCTGCATGTCTCTGCAAGAAGGGAAGACAGGAAATTCCTGGTGCAATAGTCAGCTGAGCAAGCTTTCAGTTGGCAGGTCAGTTCCAGCTGGACCTACCATATTTAGCCACATAACATTAAGTATCAAGAGCAGAAAAATTTGTATTCAATAGTGAAAGATTTTAGCTTCCAGTATCTAGTATTTTCTAAAATTGTAAGTAACTGCTTCTCTCAGAAGCTAATTCTTTCTTTTTGATACATCATTTGGTAGATAAAACATGCCACAAGCACTTAACCAGCCAAAACCACTTTAAATATTTTTTGACATGTTTTTAAAACAAAAGCATAAAATGTAATGCAAAATACTCTATGGTAGCATTTTAAAAATTAAGCTAGCATGTATTACCTGCAAGTCACATTTCAGATGTAAATCTCATTGCTTCTGTTTTTTTCTTACTGTATAGTCTTTTCTTCTAATAAACCCTTGGTTAGTAAAATTTTGAGATGTTGCATACTCTGTAGGAGTAGGGAGGGAGAAGGGAAAGGAGTTCTTAGGGCTGTGTGGCATCCCCATAGATCTGGAATTCTTTGACCTTATTTTCCATGGATCATTTTCTCACACTGTTACAGGAATAGTCTTTAGTCTTTATAAAATAAGAAGCACTTGTATTTTCTGGTGTAGAATGGCATGGTTGCTTGTTTCAACTATTTTCAGGGCCTGTAAAAGAAAACACAGACTATATATTGTTGTTTATGGTTACCAAAATGTGTTGTGTTTTTTCCCCCCCTCTCGTCTTTCCTGTCACCTCTTTATTTCCCTTCCTAGTTTACTCTGCTCTCTCCTCACACTTGGTGAACAGTATTTGTTAAATGTAGTGTGACTTTCTTTGAACTTTGGATTTTGTAAAGCACTTTAGATTTGCATGGCATCAATGAATCTTGTTGGTACCAAAACAGCTGCCACAATGTCCAGGGAAATGGTTCACATGTTATCCAGGACTTCCAGAAGGTGGTTCAGTAATACTTGATAGGGAATTTTGCCTTTGTGCAATAGACCAATCCAAGACCCAGGCACCTAATGGATATAACAACATGCAAGTATTTGGCATTTTTTTCTGAAGCATGTCAGGGGGCTTAAGGTCACCCACATCACACTGGCAGCTCTTGCTGAAGCAGTAGGCACTGTATAATATGAGAACAGGGTATTTTGTCAAAACAAAGCATTAGCAATTTCCCAAGTGCTTCCTGTGACCTTGCTCAGAGGAGGATTGTTGGAAAAGTCTGATTAGCAATTTACTTACGAGTACCTGCCTGACATCTTCCTTACAACAGCGATGATTATTCCTACAAGGATTCCAACTGCAACTATGATTCCAATAATTATTCCAACCAGTGCAACTGTTTCCAGACCACCTGAAAGAAGAAACTGGGAATGTTAGCATGTTTCTCATGGAAGCCATTTATAAGAGACTGCTGATAGAATTGACAGGGCTCTGCTGCATCCCACTCTAGGGAAAATTTCCTTCTCTTCTGAACTCTGAAGTAGGTTTAGGTTCAGGAGACAAATCAGGGAGCAGGTCATGGCTCCTCCTGAACCTCTTATTTAAGAATAGCATGGGCATAGCTAGTAGCTTCTAGAAGAGTGTCACCTGGCTGTTAAGTTTTCCCTTGTCTTTATAAGCAATTATATTTAATACCTTTTTCAGTTTTCTCTGGTTCTTCATTCAGTCTACCTGTAAAGTCAGAAAGAGAATATTTACTTAATGCTTTGTACAGTTTAGGATCCCAATTTATAATGCTATATCCAAGGAAAACTTCTATCAACTCTTATCACAAAGGTTTGAGGACTGTGTAATAATTTGTTCTTGCAATAGGAAGTGAGCACATGAAAAGCTTCAGAGAATGCTTTTGTCAGCACACATCTGTTATGAGACTAGGATGCTGAGTGATTGTGAAGGAGTAATTTTAGAAATCTTACTCTTCCCTTTCAAAAATCAGCAATGCTGCCTTTGAGAGCACCCTAAACTTGGTATTTGAATTTTCCAGTTACTGTTTTATTAGATGGCAGAAGAACTTTGATATAAAAATAGAAGTGAAAGATGTTTTTACCATCAACATTTTCTGTGTTAGCTTCATAACCAGTAGAATTATCACTGACATCAAGTGGGTCAAATGCACTTTCTGTGGTCATCAGTTGTCCAAACTGCAAGAGATTGGTTACATTGTGTAGTTTTGTGGGCAACTACAAGAATTGAGGAGGAAAAAAGAGGGAAAAGAAAACCTCAGTACATTCAGTCTACATATAGAAAATAGAAAACAAGCATTTAAATTTCTTGTTCTGTCAGGTGCCCTGTGGATGCTTTTTTAGCTGTTACCTGTCGTCTTACACTTGTGTCCAATGCCCCAAAAAAACCCAAAGTAAGCTGATTTGTCTTCCCAGCTAGAGGCTTGGATGACCTCTTAGTAGGACTACAAAAGGTGTAGAGTGGACTGCAGAATATTGCACACCTGCTTTTTTTCATTTTTTACATTACCCTGTAAATTTGGTTTCATTTAAGCTAACAGAGAGAGACTGACTTAAGAGGCAAATGGCAATGAACAAGCAGGTTCTGAATCCTTTTTGTAGCACAGAAAAACTCCTAAAGTTCTCAGCTTTGTCACCTTCAACCTGATTGCTTGCAAACCAAAAGCATTGTCATTAGATTGGTTTTATATTTAGAATTCAAGTTTATTCTTTATCATTTGTAATGATCATTCAAAGACTAAGCCAGAGAAAATACTAGGAATATGAAATCAGGGTAACCTGAAGGAACCTTTACTTAAGATGTTACTCACCAGAGTTGGTAATTCCTCAAATTCTGTGTAATTTTTTTCTCTGAAATCAATTGTTGCACTTTCTTCTCCTTCTAGAACTGAGCTTGCTGAATAAAATATTAGAAAATTAATTAGATTTTTACTCGGTATTCACATGTCCTGTCTACTTTGATATATAATTATTAAACATGACATCTATGTAATTTTAAATCTCCCTTCCCTTGCAGGCTTACCTTTGCAGAAGTTTTTGGGCTAACTTTGAATTCTCCTATTCTGGTGTACAAGGTTGCAGGACAAAGCTTAAGCACACATAACTTAACCCTAGCACAACCTTGAAACATTAGTTACTAAGTGCTTTGTCAAATAAAAGATTTTAAAAGAAAAGATTCTGTGCCCACCCTGCCCTCGGTGGATGCAGCTACTCTAAATTTCAAGTTTAACATCAGCTTATGCATTTGAATCAATTCAAGCATCTCTGCTTTTTAAAATAGCAAAAGCTTTCTCCATCTTTCAGTTCAGTCCCAACTTCATCCTTTGTGTTTAGAATTATCATTAGTGCTTACTGTAAGGTCTCCCTTTTTGTTTATAGATCTATATAAGTCATCTGTGTCCTTTGGTATAACAGACAAATTGTGGCCCAAAATGATTTTTCTTTAAAATACAGTCCAACTTGATCAATAGGAAAAATGAGATGGAACAAGGTAGGACATGAAAGATATGGATATGTGAAGCACTATCAGTAAAATTTTGAAAACACAGGTATACTTTTACTAAGCTTTATGCTGATTCATAAAACTATGACCATACACTGTGATGTTAATGTGGAGTGATTTCTCTTGGGAGTTCCTAATTCAGCATGATTATAAAGGTAGGTGAGGCTGCTTGTTTTGTTATTGCCTGGGGTGTAAGAGTTCTGCAAATTCTACCAGCATTTAAATAAAGAGCTAATAATACACATTGTCCTGAGCAGAAACTTCAGAAGTTTTCTGGATTGAAATTTTGCATCTATCTTCTATTTATTTCAGCAAACACAACAAATGTTACTCCAAGCATTTTCAAATCCAGTTCATTATTTTTTTCCTTAGCATAATACTGAGTTATTACTAGGAAATATTGCAATGATAGCTGAAGGTGATGGGAATTATAGCAGTGCTCATTGTCTTCAAAAAGCAGAGTTTTTTGGGGGGGTTGAAGAAAGCTGTATGCTCACACATCATTTGCCTCTGTATGTCAGGTAACAACTGTCAGCTGCTAATATATTAACTGTGAACAGAGAGTACCTAATCTTTCTCTCCTTTGCAATGTAGTTTGATACCCCTGTAATTTGGTAGGTTGTGGGTCTAACATAGTGGCTAGTTAAGACAGCCAGTCTCCCCAAAATCAGCTTATAGTTCATGGAAAGACTAGAACAGGGCAGAGTAAATAATATTTCTAAGTTAGGTAGTAAAAATAATCTTTTTGGTCATTTTAGATTGAAATAACCCAGGTGAGCAGCCTCAAAAATTTTCTGTTGCTATAAAATAAAGGGGGCTTGACTTTAAGGTGTGTGATTAAGCCACCTTTTAAATATCAGGGCATTTTAAGATATGGCACTACTTTATAATACTTTTTTTTTTTTTGCTTATGAAGCAATGTCTTTCAAGTACAACATTGGGATTATTTATAAGTGTAAAGAAAAATAGAAGTAAAGCTCAACAACAGGGATTGTGTATGGATCAGTTTACCTTGAAACCCCAGTTGGAACTGAAAAAAGTCCTTTATTCGCTAGTTGCAAAATATGCACAGAAGGAGAAAACCAATTACCAGAGGAAAAACCCCAAGTAGAAAGTGAAATGAGTTTTGTATGTTAACAACAAGCAGCTTATTCAGAGAAGCTGCTTGTACTCTTGGCATGGCAGTAGCTTTCAGCCCTGAAGAATCACTTGATAGTGAAGGCAGGGAAGGGAAGAGTGTCACAGAACAAAGGTGTAGAGAATGAGTGAAAGCCACAAAGAAACATGAAATTACTTTTTGTGTGATTAAGTTATTGCAGATTCTTGGCAATAAGCAACATGTAGAAAATCTGTTTCAGTGCAGTTGCTCTCTGTGTACAGTGACTGGCAAAAGGAAGTGGCCCAGATTAATCTTGCCTAATTTTAGGTTCTTAATAAAGGTGCCTAAATAAGATGTCTGCTTGCCCTTATCTTTTTATAGTCTTTAGAGAATGATACAGTTCTAGAAGGTAATTTGGCTCACCTCAGATTTGGGTCATCTTTGGTAGTGCTGCCTTTCCTTAACTGCAAGGGGAACCTGGGTAGCTCTATTAGCTCCTAAAGCTCACAGGTTGAACTAATTTCTGTCAATGTGAAGATCTTGTTCTAACCCTGTCCAATCTGCCTAATAGTGCATTCAAGCTGAGGTTCTGTATTTGCTGGAGAATAGACCCTGGACTGTGTTTCCAGGGTAGTTTTTCTGGACAGTAACTGGAGGTGGGCTGAGAGGTAGTTAAACAGGCACTACTGAACTATTGCCAAAAGGAAGACTGGGAGGTGACTTGCTATCAGTGCATTGCTTTTTAGGAAGGAATATTTGATACTATACAAATCTGTCAGAGTCATAATAAATTTTAAAAATGAAATTGAGATAAACTATTGGACTCAAAGTCTTTGCCTATACCCAGTACAGAGCTTATGTACTACTGACATCAAAGAGAATGTAAATTGATGTAAGGGTGTGTGTGCTTTAGTCATCTGTTGGTTTCATCTGATCTAGGCCAAATGGAGCATGAGCCATAGGGTTAAGCAGTGCTTCTGCATATGTTCTTAATATTATCTTAGAGGAGGCTGTAAATAAAAGCAGTGCTTCTCAGTGCTGTGATTGTCTCCAACTAGCACTGTGGCCTCTTCTGTTTGCAGCTATACGTTGCTGCAGATGTGAATTAATGATTGCATCTCTTCCTGCTCAAGTTCCAGCTGGGTGTGTTTCAAGTTCAAAGTCCCCAGCTGCTATCAGGCTGCTGCTTTGCACACCAGGCGAAAATGTGATGTCTTTAAAAGTTGAATACTGCTGTGAAAACATCCCATGGTTAAGCATCCCATGACCCACTTAGGGGAAGATGAGCTCACTACTCATTGTTATGCACGGAGTGACAGTTTACTAGAAAAACCTCTTAGGGTTGCTTTCAAAGCACAGTGGTTGTGTTGGAAAGGAGAGTGAGTTGTAAAACTGTTGTTCATTAGCATTTCTTTCAGGTATCTCCAAACCCCACAAAGATACTTTTGAAGATGAAAAATGTTGTTGGATCTTGTTTCTTTCCCAGCAGTCTGAATAAGCCCAGACACTAGTGAGCAAAAGCAGTTGTAAGCTTGTATTTTAACTTAGTCCTTAAAACAGGAAGCCCTCGAGATAGAATGAGTTTCCATCTGTGATAAGAGACCAGCAGGTCCCTTTAGTGAGAGCTGAAATAATCTTTATTGCCCATTGTCCCTCTGCTCCTATTTAAAAAAAAAAAAAAAAAAAAAAAAAAAAAAAAAGCAGCTTCAAGTTATTTATAACAGCTAAAAAGTTAACTATCAGGAAAACTGTGAACCAAAATATTTTATCTAAAAATGCAAGTTTGTTTTTATCTGTATCTTACCAAAATCATGTTTTATCCTCTTGAGCTGTGCTAGATGGGTGCCTTGTGAAATGCTTCTCTAGGAAAGCAAGGGACAGAATTGAGTGGGATTGGTCACTTGGGAGACATCACTCTTCTGTGAGATATTACTGAGCTACCTATCTAGAGTTGACTGTTTTCACTATGTGCTTCCTGAACTCAGTGGTGTTGTTTGAAGGACTGTATATGTGTTAGCTCTCCTGTTTTGGCCATATTTTACTCAGCATTCATATCCTGTTTCAGGAATTCCCTTTCTGAGGAAGCATTCTTCACTCACAAACCTTAATTGAATTGTGAGCAAAGTTGAGTCCTAAAGCCAGTATCATGTTACTAGAATCTTGTTCAGTTGTAGTTCAGTGAAAACTTTTATTCGTTGTGGTAGAAGCTTCACCAAAAACTGTAATTTGATAAAGTATCTGCCTATTATATTTTAGCAGCAGCTCTGTAGTTTTCAAGTATAATTTTGTCTACAATTTCAAATACAATTATTTGGCTTCATCCTCAATGAGATGGGCGCCACAGGTCCAAAATGTATCTTATAAAGTTATTTTTCTCTGAAAGCAGTTTTACATTATTTTTCTATAATTGCCTATGCATTTTTGGGTATTTGGAAGGAGCATATAGGTGTAGTCTTTTTTAAGTGAAATGGTTCAACACTGCCAAATCCACGCTACACAGTCTCATAGGCTTTGAAAATTTGAAGTTTTGAAGAAGGTAATGTAGATTCTGGGTTTTGAACCTTTGGGCAGGTAAATTAGAAAGGCAAGGAGGTTTCCTAATGAGAACTGATTCTCATTGGTACTTGTGGCTTCTGCAAAATTCATGACATCTGCAGCATCCTTAGCCTGTGTGGGGCCACAGCATTGCTATTTTCTTTGTGAATGCTTTATTGAAGTTGGAGTGATGTATCGTGCCATAACAAAGAAATACCCTGGCACATGTTTGTGTCTAGACTTTGATCAGGAGAAAGTATGTTCTGTCTAAATGCTGAAGTGCTCACTGCAGTTTTGTTAGACAAAGCCTGACAGCTTTGTTTTATGTAATGAAGGAGGCTGGATGACAAAATACCATGAACTTTGGAAAGTATCTGCCAGTTGAAAAATGATGATGCACAAGGAAGGATTTAGCTCAGCCTTATTTAGGAGCATGACTGACTTTGTGCAGGTATTCCATGGAGCTCACCATGATAATGTTTCACTGGATTGTTAGAAACATTTCCTTTGGTCACCACACCCTACTACTGTGGCTGGCTAAGCTGAAGAAACAAAGCCAGTATTTAAATCTGCAGTGCCAAGTGGCAGAGAATCACTTGGCTAATTCTGAAGTAAATCACATGTCTTCTGAATGTTACGGTGTTCTGCACTGCCCTTACATAGGAAAAGCAAAACAAAATATATTTTCACTAGGCAGATATATAGCTGGGCCTTGAAGAGCAGTTATTTTTCTGTGTATGACCCACAACCACAGTTATGAAACAAAGCCACAAGAGGACAAGGTGGTAACTTTATTAAGCTTTCTCTTCTGCATAATAAAACAGTCCACAGTACTGTGGGTATTAAGAAGGAAGTATTAAACTCCATTACAGGATATTCCTTTAAAATATTCCTTGCAGAACTAGAGATGAGTCTTCTAAGGTTTATATTTTTAATTTGCTGTTTCAATATCTGATTTCTTGTCTGGTAAATACACTGTTCTCAGAGTTGCTCTCCCATGAATGTGGGATAAAACCACTTACTGATATTTGCAGCCCCATGACCCTATGGCAACTGTTTCGGTCTGTCCAGCAATTTCTTTGTCTGCCCTGAGCAATAAGTGTTTTATTGGAACTGTGAAGGTGTCAGTCTCTTCCATCATTCTGTAAGTGGCACCTAAAACTGCAGCAATACAGTACTGTGTTTATCACTCCATGGCTGACAAGGAAGGAATGAGTGTTGGAGCTGAGACAGGAGAAAAGTACATTTCATCCAATGGATCAGCAAGTTTTCTGGGATGTGCAGCAGAAAGCCAATCTGTGTACAGATGGGATATGTGAACGCAGACAAAAGGAATTAAGAAATGACCTCTAATACAGTAATAAACTAATCTTTTCCCTGAATCACTTCCTTCCCAAAACTTGGCAGCTGTAGTGATCTGCCCTTTCACAGCTGCCTTGATGAAGGTTACTAACCCCTTGTATCTGCCAGGGGAACTGTTTGCGTGATCATTTCTGAACTAATTTATTTGAAATCTTGCTAACACTGTCACTGGAAACTGGTTAGGCTTTAATTTTGTTTAATTTTGTTCACACAGGAATTTTTGGCTTGCTGCTTTATATTGCCACCCAGCAAACCAGATCCATTCAAATGTTTAGTGTGACCTTCATACTAACTAATAACATACTAGCTAATGTTTGGATGGGTTTCATGCCCATAAAAATATTTTAACATGCATTTGGAATCGAGTGTGTCCCCTTTCCAGATTTAGCAGCAGTCTCTTAGGAGGGATTAAATAGTATGTGTTTGCCTGAAATGGTGTACACAGTGGAATTGTGCACTCACAAGGGGTTATTCTGATGCAGTTTATACTGGATGTTGTAGTGTTTGTGATCAACAAATACAAAGATGGAAAACATGAGGAAGTCATAAAGCAACATGAGAATGTGCACAGCATCAGTTTGTCTCCTCTAAGAGTCTTTGGCCAGGCTTCTGAGATGGTGTGTTGGAATCAGAAGTAAGTTTGTTTTATTTATCTTACTTGCTTCTCTTTAGAACACCCCTAAGTACCTATATTCCCAGTTCTGTATCTTTGTCTGAAATGCTGTGTAGGCAGCTGTGCACCACACAGCAATGTGGGCTTTGCTGCAGCATTATTTCAAATGGAGGGAGGGTATGGTGTGTGTCTGCACAAAGGAATCAGAGAAGGCCCTTGGAGAGGCTGCCTGTTTGCAGCATGGATCTGGGATGCAGTGAATGGACCTGGCAGCCTGTAATCCCTGGCTGCATCCAGACAAAAAGCAAACAAACCAACAAAATAAACATGCAACTGAGAGAAACCATTTGCTAGAGCTGGGCAAACAGTTATTTCTGTGGCACACATGTATGTATGGCTTGCCTCAAATGACATGAGGAGGAACCACTGCATGCTTCTGTCAGAGCCCAGCAGCCTGCATGCATTTTTACAATTTTTTATCTATTAAAATGATCTTTGATATTTCTAGGTTCTCAGCTGCTTATTTTTGCAGATTATTTACAAGTACTAAATCTGGGGTAAATGCATGGGTTCTGGGGAAGCCCTTGAATGACAGCAGCTGAAAATCTGGTATCTCTAGTTTGTTTTCACTGTGCAGCCCGAGTTGATGAAAGGTTCACTTGTGAGCTTTTTAATGTCATTATTTCCTTTGCTTGTAAAGCTACATAGGTTAAAACATAACTTTTGCAATACAGATGGGCAAGGCTCTGCTTTCCCTATGAAGAGAAAGCAAAATTTGTTTTCTGATGCTCAAGCCATTCTATGAGATCTGGACAGACTGGAGGGCTGGGCAAAGATGATGCAGCCAGACACAGAGTAAAAGATTATCATGCTTATTTACCAAAAATTGGCTCCCTTTTGGAGTCACATGTGACTGCTTATTTTCTTTACTAACAGCAGCTATAGAATTTGATTTTTCAGAAGAGTTTAGAGCTGCCTGAGTTTGGTTTGTTTTGCCAATGAACTGGCAAGAGAGTTTGTGCAAATCAAGATACTTTAAAAAAAATCTTTTATTGTAATTTTGTCAATTCTGTTTTTATTATTTTGAAAAATATAGAAATCTTTGTAGTCTTTTGTGGTTGGCAGTAAACTTCAGTTTCCTTTCATAACATATCAACACTTTTCACCTGAATTGACATGTGTTTACTTTCAGTCCAAAACAAATGTGAAGTAACATGACCTAGCATAAACCTGTTTATTTTGAGACTTTCATAAGGAGTTATAATCTAGTATTTGCCTCTGGGTAAGATCAAGAACGTGAACAGTTGACACAGCTTAAGTGACATGTGGTAACTTGCTTAATAATCATGTTCATTTTTGTTCATGTTATGTGACAGCCCGAAGAGTAATCTCCATCTTTGCAATGGTGTTTGCACCATGGGAAAGGTTTAAAATAAAATTGTTTCCTCTGTAAACCATGCATTTCAATGCTTGTGCTTTTAACTGTTTATTGCTGTGTCCAGAAAAAATATAAACCAAGTTCCATTTCAAATCATTTGGTCTGATCCTGAAAATTTGAATTTTTATAGGCTGAATAGGATCACAAAAGGCAATCAATCTGCTAATCATGCAATAGGAAATGCTTTAGTCTACGAGTTCATATAGTATAATGCTCAGGGCTGTCCTTGGCTGTAAGAAAGAAATACTGGGCTGTTTCAGGATTTAAATCATGAATGGATAACACAGAGCATGTGTGAATGTGCTTTAAGTAGACAGTGATGTAAGATCTGTCACTAGGTTTTCTTCCTGTATTTTTGTTAATTTCTGCCATTAATTTTACTTGGAAGCTTACAGAAGAGTGAAGTGAATTAGTTAATTTTCCATCTTCATTGTCAGGGCAGTCACAGACTGCTGAAGGTGGCACTGTCTTTTTTTAAGTCTGTTCTAACTTATAATTGCTGATGAAATCAGTAAGCAGTAGTGATACGTATGCTAAATATTCAGGATCTGCTTATTTTGTATCTGCAGTCTATTTTCCTGGCATATCCTTTGGAAGTCATCCTAAATGACTCCATGTGAAGAAAGTCTTAAAACCTGAACAGCCTTAAATACTGTAAAACATGCTCTGGATCCAATGCTGGAGTTCAGAGCAGACTATACTGATAATAAAACAGAGGTAGAATCTTGCAAGCAGGAAATATTTCAGCATTTTTCTGGCTAATAGGGTTTCAACCGGATTGTTGCAGGACTCCTTCTTGTGAGTTGACAGATTTCCCCCAAAAACCTTAAGATGAAAGACCCTTTATTTCCCTGTGATTCTAGTATCCTAGAAACTGCTTAAGGTATTTTTATAAAACTGTGGTGTTTTTTTCCTAATTTTTAATGGCTTTATATTTTAGTACTTTAAATATTGATGCTTTTTAAGGGCAAGTTAGCAGGGTGAGCTGTTAAGTGCTTATCAGAGCCTGGAAAGCAGTATTTTGGAGTTGCCTAGTACCTGTTGATTTTGGATATTCTATAAAATTTTGAAGTATAATTCCAAACTGTCTCGGGAATTCCCACTAGAAGTTTCAACATCCACACAGAGTATCTTGATATAGCTCCATTATTTGTAGCAGAATTATAGAACGCCAGGTTGGAAGGGACCTCAAGGATCACCTGGCCCAACCTTTTTAGGTAATATAGTTTCAATGAGAATCATACTGATTGTCACCAGGCAAAAAATCGGGCTATATGGTTCAGTTAGGGTCCCCAGATTCAAGTCAGACAAATAGATTGATGCTTTGGAAGACCAGAGAGTTGAATTTCAGGTTGTTTTCAGAGCATTGGTACTTGCAGCATGTTCTGTAGCAGGAGTAGCTGCATTTCACCACTGCAAATGTACTTTGTGCATCCATCATACATCAGGCACTTTGCCTGGTGGCCAATTCATTGAGTCAAATACTACACAGAAAGTCTGAATTTGGGCATAATGTCCCTGAAATCAAGTACTGCTCAGGGTAATTCAGATTTACTGTTAATAAATCAGTCTTCTTCAGTGGTAAAAAGATTTTAAATATCTGTTTTACCTAAAAGGATATTTTGTATATTTCTTATAAAAGTCAAAAGAAATTGATAAATACACTTATCTGAATAGATACATAATGCTTTCTAAATTAGTTTTAGGTAATAGTTCTTCCTGTGTTAGTTTCCCTCACTTGCGTATGTTGCTTATGGCTAAGTTAGTATTAGCAAAAAATAGGGCTCAAATTCTAAGCTGTTGTAATGCCTGTAATTACAGAAGCTAAATTATTGAATGCTAAGATTTAAAAGTTACTTTCATGGAGAGTTTCACCACTTAAATGCCAGTTACAACTAAATGATTGCTTGTAGTCTCCTGTGCATCTATTGCAGTGAAAATGAAGACATTTCCAAGGGCTGTTGATGTAATTCCTTCCCTGCTTGGACTGTTCTTCCCTTACAAAGACACACAGAGTTTTTCTAATGGAGCATAACTCAGCCCATCTGAATTTTTTGTTTCTTTCCTGATTATAAATGCTTATTAATAGCTTAAGAACTCAGAAGAAAGTTTTTTAAACAGGACAGAGCAACTACATTGCCTGTTAGTAAGCAAACAAACTGTTAAATTACAGGAAGCGACTGGAAATAACTTCAACCAAAGTTCTTACCTTCTTCAGCAAGTGCTATGAAAGGCATGGTCCCTAGAACGAAAATGAAGAGTTGAACTTTAACAATCATCTTTGATCTTCTTGAAGAACAGCTTCCCAATCCTGAGATGAGATGGCTTCAAATTCTGATTAATTTCTTTGAGAGGCAGGGGAGAATTGAGATCAGAAAAAGAAATCCCTGCAACAAATACTTCGGTATTCCAAATATTCCTTTAACTGCTGCAGGCTGAACAGGGAAGGTTTCCACAGATAACTGTACAGCTAAAGAAAACGGAGTGGAGTCAGCATTATTTCCTTTAGCCAAGGGGTGGGAGCGTGCCTTAGGTGGTCCTCCAAGAAGAGCCAGGCCCGCCCTCTCCACTCTGTTTGGTCAGTAGTAAAAGTATGATCTCAGCCCAGGTTTAAAGTTACAGGGGCTGTTGTGGCTTCCAGAAGACTTTTATTTAGCAAAGGGGAAGAATATTAGGCAGAGTGAGGTGTTCAGGGAGTTCCCTCCCTTCTGTAAACTGCCCTTAAAAATATTTAAGGAACAACACTAAGGACATTTTTCCTGTTATTTCCAGCGGTGAACTGATGTTTTTAATTTCTAAGTGAGCCCCCATGTTTATCTGAGCAAGTGTGGTAGTCAATGTGCGTTTAGGGACACTGAAATAGTTTTAGGACAGCTTATTTAATTCTGCAGTAAATACTGTCTGAATTTTTCTGCATGTCTGAGTCTCCCAGCTTGTGTCCTCAGGTGACATCCTAGCTGTACTCCAGCATTTATCTCTGCCCACAGGCTTGCTGGGCTCATTGTGCTAATATCACCCTACAGAGAGAGGATTTTTTTGATTCAGGTATTAGTAGTGCAGCTGCATAATGGGCTATTCAAGACCAGTTGCTTTTTTCTTGTGTATGTCCCTGCACATCAGCATTGTGTGGCATGTGTGCAAGACTGGGTTAGCACTCTGCCACCTTCTGTAGCAGATCCTCTCAAGTAATGGTTGTTGAACAGGGGCTAGAGATGAAGCAGGACTTGGGGAGCAGTTATTTATATTAATTTTTTTCTGAATCTTCCCTTATCTTGGGCAAGCAGTAATCTGCTCATTTACATCTATTTAGGAACGTGGTGAGTTTTAATCAGTGCTTACATGTGAACTAACTATGCCAGTGTGCCACACAGCTGAGTGGAGGAAGTATGTGACCTTCTCCCTCAGCTTCTGTACCTTGAAGTCCTGCAGTGCTAGGACTTCAGATTGAAGCACAGCAGCAGAAGCATCGATTTATTTATTTTTTTCCTTTCTGCTGGCAGTTGTGGAGGAGGTAACCTCTGTAGAATAGTGGGACAGACTTGTGGGAGAGGTTTTATCTTTGGTTTAAAAAAAAAAAGACAAATGTGGCTAGGGTGTTTTGCTCACTGAATACGATTCAGAGCCCTCGTTAAGACCCCACAACCCTGTTATAAAGAAAGAATGCAAGTCCAAGTGTATGCAGTAATATCGTGTTGTAAAGAAGGCTGCAGATGAGAAGTGCAACACTTCCCACAGGGCTTTACTTTTGATAGTGATACATGCCCAAGGAATTTTTTAGTTATAGATATAAATTCTGGTGCTATAATTGTGCGATTTGTATTAAAGATCATGAGGAGAGTAGGATGAAAACAGTCAACACTAATGCAAAGAAACACCAGGCAATATTGGTTTATTGTCTTTAGAATATGAGAACAATAATTATTCCTATATACTAACTTGGAGCATGTCTCCTATCTAAAAGTCTGGGATTAGTTATTTCTCAAAAATGCTGCTTCAAATTTATTTAAAATAATGTTTGCTTATTGGGAAATGCCACTTGTGAAACTGAAATTTGCCTGGGGAGTATGTCTGCCTTAATGAAACTTATTTTGAACAGTCAAAACAATGCTTTACCTTATCCAAATGGAATGTTTGGATTTCTGTATTTTCAGAGGGAAAACTGAATGTACTGCACTATGAAAGACAAACTGGAATAAGCAATTACCTTTTAATGTTAACAAATTCTCATCAGGAACAGAAAAGGGATTTCTAGAATTGCATTCAATTTTCTTTAACGCTACACTGAAGACCTTTCATTTTTATGATTATTCCTATAAACAACTTTGTCTTGGATTTAGAAATAAGCCTTTAAGGCAAGGTAAGCTATTGGCTGAATGAAATAATTTCTTCCTTTAAACTGTACTGTATTCTGGGTATAGAACTGGAGCTTTTGGGCTTTCAAGAATTGGAGATGTCAGAGTTTGATTCCCATTGTGGGATTAAATTGTTCCTTTAGGACAACCCATGATGGCAGTTTGCCTTCTAGTGCGGACAGCATGTTGCTGAGTAAGTAGATAAAGGCTGGGAGCCATTGATGACCCCTCTGATTTAAAACATCAAAAAAACTCTTTCAGAAAGGCCAATACACCCTTGGCAGAGGGTATGGTGCCAGGGAGAGATGAGGGAGCAGTTTCCCTCTGAACCATACCAAATTTTTTAAAATGAAACTCTAGTTCACTGTATTGTAATTCTGTTAAGCCAGTAAGTTTTGTGAAAATATAGGAGTTATTCTAAGGTTCTGATTTACCTTTAAAACAGCAATTACATGGTCTTTTTCAAAACAAAAAGCATATCTATATGGAAGTGTGTGTCTTTGCTGGTTGGCAGTGGACTTGTGCTCAAATGCTGTAGTGGATTTAATTTAGGTCTAAGCAGAGATGTTGTTTGGTCTTTTTTGTTCAGGGTGTGTTATGACAATTCCCACAAATTGCCAGGATATGAGTGCATGGGTCACTTTTTTTTTGTGCCAGACAGCTCTGTGTTTTTAATCACTCTGGCTTAAGGGAGGAGGTGGAGGGGATCTAGAGTACAAGCAGCCCTCGTGTTTTCATTTCATAATCTGTTCTTTTCATCTGACTGTTTCAGTCACTTGCACAGCTTTGTGATAGGCTTAGGCTGTTCCTAGCTCAGTGAGAGCGAAGAGTGAAACCTATCTGGGGAGTAGAAAAACAGTGACCATATCCTGCAAAGTGTTATGCCTCAGTGGCAGACACTGTGTGGGATGATCTGTTTTCCCTCAGTGTTGCAATATGAACCCAGGAGCCCTTAAGTCCATGGAAGACTCCTTGTCATCAACTGGTTTGAACCAGGCCTTTAAACAGCAATTTCCAGTATCAGCAAGGGCAGCCTTGCTGCTGTTTCCATTTAACTCTGCTGGAAAGATGGATGTTGTGCAGGGGATGAATGTAGGCAGCTTGATTTCTGTCTGTTAGGGTTTGTCAGTCTGCCTAAGTACACTCTTCTGGAGCTGTAGTGCTTTATGATGGTCTTTTGTATGTATTCCTTTGACCTTATAATTGGCAATTTGTCTGGCAGCTTATCCTGGAATGGACTGCATTTCTCTACTGAATTAAATAATCTGTATGGCTACAT